AAAAAACCCAACCACAACAAAAAAAACCCCACACAAAACCAAACAACTCTACAGCTGAGTGGGACATAAATTATTATTTTCCCAGTACAGAAGAAATAAATTAATGTGTAATAACAATGTCAGACAACTCCAGTGATCTTTATTTCCAGTCAAATGATGAGGATGAAGAACCAAACAATAGAAAAACAAAGATGAACGTGAATTCTCAGCAAATGTTCCTCATTCTCCTTTCTCCTCCTCTCAATTTGTTCAGGTCTTGCAGCTAACCCATGATCAGTCCAGTATTACCTCTAACATTTTTTCACATGTTGATTAATGAGGGAAGGCAGGCTTTGAAGCCACTTTCTTCTCCCAGACAGGTGCAGTGTTTTAACTGTGAAAGAGTTGACATGTGAATTATTTGTAAAGAGGGAGCTATCTAAACACATCATTAACGAAGGACAAAAAGCATTGACCTAACCTGGTGCCGCAGCACTTTCAAATCCTTGGTTGTTTTCCAACTTAGTGATTGTTTAAAGATTTGCCATCATTATTGGCCATCCCTATTTTTCCTCTATTCTTAAATTCAGGTTGTGAAAATCAAGTGTTTTATTTGCATAGGGATCTTTTCCCATTATCAAATATAGCCACTATCTATGGCATGTGCCATAATTCAGGTAATGTAAATTTAGGCAAACTTACGTGCTTATCATGAAGGATGATAGATACAATTTGTCGATAAAATATTGCTAAAAATCCATTCCCACTCCAATAAGAAAAGCAAGTTAATGTTAATCAATAGCTTCATTTTTGTGGTTTATAATTTGTTCCTTATTGAACAAAACTATGTCTCTCATGTTTAATTTTTATTGTATGCTCAAATTTAAGCACGTCAGCAAGCTTTTATGCATTAAACCCTTTGTGCTTCTGAATTGTTAAATCCTATTTACAAATATTTTAGGAGAGTTATTGATTATGACATATTGGAGAGGAGGAGCAGCGAGTCTACAGTTGACCAAACCAAAATGGTGTCTTTTATCTAACTAGTCTTTTCATTCACCTGAAAATTCAATAAAATATGTTTTACATCTATAGGTCAGGAATCAAGGAGCACATTAAGCATTCAAGTGAAAGGTTAAAGATCTACTACCAAGTAATGAAATGCCAGGTGTTTATGAAACTCCAGAGCCCTGTGGGGGGAAAAGTAGAGAGGAAAGACAGGAAGAGTTCTGAACCTATGGGTAAAACAACATAAACAGGATACCAAAAAGAGAAGTGAAGGAAGAAAACAGTAATGAAGTGTTGCTCAATACATGTGAAATCGGAGCCATAATTTCATCCTGCCAGAGGATAAGAAAGGCATGAACAATGAAGGCACAGAGAAGGAGGAGGTGACAGTCACCGTAAAACAATATCCAAGGTTAACACAGGATATTCTATAAGAATGCTGCTTCATTAAAAATAGGAGTCGTGATGGGCTGGGATTAAGGGACACAACCAATTTAGACTCTGCTAGCTTTCTCTGAGGTATCCCAAGGTTGGGGCGGAGGGGGGAAGGGGGAGGACAAATCCATCAGTTAACACATTTACAACTAGAAAGTGTTGGCTGCTACACAAATGGTGAATAGTTAGGAGTAGCAGGGTGCTGGACATGGGGGTCCAGTGATCTTTTTAAGTCTAGATCTGCCATTATTCTGCCTTCTTTTCACTGAAAATAGGTGAAGCACTAGTGTGGGCTCTTTGGACTGGCGCCCAGCCAGTCGAAACAGCCAGCTGGAGATCTTCCAAGTGTAGGAGGTACACAGCTGTCAAGGCGCTCTAGACTACAATACTGGCAGAGCCACCCATAGGCAGATGCTACTGCTGCAACTGCATCAAGCCCCGAGCTCAGAGATTGGTCCTGTTTTCACTCAGACAATGTGAGAACTTGGTCTTTGCATAGTGCCTTATGAAACCCAAATGTTTGAAAATGATCTGCTCTTTCCCATCCTTTTCCCTGAAAGTCTTAAACTTGAGTCTTCATGTCGACATGAAACTGGGGCAAAAGAAAGAGGATCTTCCTTGTCATTTTGCAACAGCCAAGCCTCCAAGCACTTCCACCTGGCCCCTGCTCCTGCTTCTCTCTGAGGAGTACAGCACCACAAGGAAACACCTGCTCTAGACATATTTCTGCCTACAGCTACTTATTTGTAGATTCATTTATACATTTGATGCTCCTGTTTTTACTGTAAGAAAGGTACATTTTCTTGGAATGGAGAATCACCAGCTCATAAAACTGAGGACTACTGCTCTATGCTGTAGGTTTTAGAGGTGGAAAATTGGTCTTATCTAGTTTGTCTCCCTCCTATCTTCTGTGTATATTCTTGTTTTGAGCATGATTTCTCTGGTCTAAACTCAGTGTAGTAAATCAGAAGTATTTTGTGCTCATGTAGCACCTGTTGTCAGGACAATCGATTTTCCAGGAATTTCCTGAAATTAGTATGATTTCACCCTGCTAGTGCCAAGTAGGCATGCTTATATACAGTTTACAAACAAGGAAACTAAGCTCGGGGTTGACCGAACACCATCAACTGGTGGCAGGAGTCAGAAATATTTGGTCACAGAACCTGGCAGCCAGAGCCACGTTCTGACCAGGCTTTTATCACAGTTGATTTCTTGTCTCTGCTGCAGTCAGATCAATGGTAGGACACAGGCCTATATCTATCCATTCACATATCTGTCTATCCATCTGTCCATCCACCCTTCCATCTCTCCATCTATTCATCCACCCACCCACCTATGTACCTACTTACCTACCTACCTAGCTAATCTGTCTGTTACTGAAGACTGCTACAGCTGGTACAGTAGCAAGCCAAAGTATCTCTCTCTGTGCATGTACTGCTTTTTCTGGTGGCCTCTAAATGGTCTCCCAAATTCTTTAACCCTTCCAAACTCATTATCATAGAAACTTAGAAAAGAGGAAAGCAAAAAGCCCTGGGAGGTCAATTCATCGATGTCTTTGCTCCAAGAGACCCTATTATGATAAAGTACTAGCGAGTTAGAATCATAACAGATGGAGAATCATATGTATGTATACATTTTTTCCCATGGAGTTGAAAAGGGAATCATGTGCAGACTTTTTACATAAAGAAACAGTGTGTAGCTTACCCACTGTGAATAAATCTAATTTAATCATCTTTATGCCTCCCTGATCTTCATCCTCTGAAGTTTGCTGGAGGGTCAGATGTGCACTCTGGGAAATTTTCCAGGTTCTGTGTTGGTTCTTTCTACCCCCACTCCCCCCCTTTTTAAACTCAGCCTTGCGCTGAAGTTTTTCTCCATTATAACAATGCCACCAGCAGTGCTGAGGCTGTGTTTGAGGCACCAGCTTTGCTGCAGGCTGAGCAAGCAGCACGCCAGGTCCTTCGGTGCCGTGCAGTGCTGTAGCCTCTGTGTGGCAGCAGAACATAGCACGCTTTGGACTAGAACAGGATCATTTTCAAAGGAAATGCTGGTGTCGGACACTGGGAGTTAGGGCTCTGCTTTCTACTACCACCTCTGCTACAAATCTTTATATGGTCTTTGGCAAATCGCTTACCTTCTCTGTTTCCCAGCTGCAAAAATACTTAGGTGCCCAGTGCCCCATCTTGTATTTTTGGTTTTTTTTAATGCCTTTTTTTTTTAGTCCTAGGTTATTTTGGAAATAATTTTCAGAACACCAGGTATGTAACTTGCCTGATGGTGTTATTACTTTAAGGTGCACCTTATTTTTCACATGTGAGATTGTGCTGTATTTTTAAAAATCTTTCCATTCATAAATGAAACTGCAGTTCTACTCTGACAGACTTCACCTCTCACTTGCCATTTCATTCTTTGCCTTTTTTTCTGTAAGTACTTCATAGATCTTAAAGTCAAAACAATAAAAAAATCAAACTGGGTTGTATTTGTCTAATATCTTTGGGTGCTTTTAATCACTTCTTAATGAGTCAAAGCCAGGATCAACTTCCTTTTCTACAACCCAGTTGCAGAAGATCTGAATCACAGCATTTCACTTTAAAAATCAGTAGCTGATTTATTTTCCGTGTAACAGAGACTCAGTGCTCCAGATATATACAAGCACCCCTAGTACATTCTATGCATTACAGGATGTTCAAGAGGAGCTCTTAAAAAATGAATGGGTTTTGTGGCATTAAATAGTAACGCTGCTTTGGAGAACTGTGGAGCCCTCAATATCAGAAGGATATTGACCACTTGGAGCGAGTCCAGAGGAGGCCACGAAGATGATCAGAGGGCTGGAGCACCTCTCCTATGACAAAAGGCTGCAAGAACTGGGCTTGTTCAGCCTGGAGAAGAGGAGGCGCCGAGGAGACCTCATTGCAGCTTTCCAGTATCTGAAGGGGGCCTACAAGGGTACTGGGAGAGGACTTTTTACAAGAGCCTGTAGTGACAGGACAAGGGGGAATGGGTATAAATTGAAATCAGGGAGGTTTAGATTAGATGTCAGGAAGAAATTCTTCACAGAGAGGGTGGTGAGGCACTGGAACAGGTTGCCCAGAGATGTTGTGGATGCCCCATCCCTGGATGTCTTCAAGGCCAGACTGGATGTGGCTTTGAGCAACCTGGTCTAGTGGAAGGTGTCCCTGCCCATGGCAGGGGGGGTGGAACTAGATGGTCTTTAAGGTCCCTTCCAACCCTAACCATTCTATGATTCTATGATTCTATGATTCTAATATAGTCTAACTTGCTGCATTTTGGTGTGATGAGTTTTACTGTCTGTCCCTTCAGCTGTACAGCGTGTATCTTTTACTGCTGCATGCTGAAATGTTAGTGATACAGATGCTATAGTTAGGAGCAGACCTCAGACTTTGAAAGGACCTCCTGGTATCTGTCCGAGCTGCACATACCCAACCATGTCCTGGCAGCCAAGGGATGGGGCATGCCATGTGCCAGCTGAGCCTTTTCTCCTCCTCAGTATAGCACTGACAGGGCTTCTGGTTTTGCCACTGAAACCCATGTATGTCCTTCTTTGTCCAACCCCACAGCTGAAGGCTGACGAAAGGATCATCAAAACAGAGCACGGGCTGCTGATCCGCAGCTTGCAAAGACGGGATGCGGGAGCCTACTTCTGCAAAGCCCAGGAGCACACCTTTGTCCACACCATCGTGAAGCTGAATTTAAACGTCATTGAGAATGGGCAAATGGAAAGCACTCAGAAGACTGAGGATGAGGAGGGCCGGGTGAGGGATTTGCTGACGGAGTCCCGGCTGAGGTACAAGGACTATATCCAGCTCGTCAGCAGCCCCAGCTTTAGCCTGGATGAGTACTGTGAACAGATGTGGCACCGGGAGAAGCGGCGGCAGCGGAACAAAGGTGGTGCCAAATGGAAGCATGTGCAGGAGATGAAAAAAAAGCGAAACCGAAGGCACCATGAGCCAGCCAGGCCACCGTCTACGTAGTTTGTAAATGTTATTTAAAGAAAGGACATTTTTCATGAAAAAGAAAATATACTGTGTTCTGGTTTTGTGCATCTTACCTATGAATTAGTACTGCTTCTTATTGAAATCAGATAACTCGCCATCACTATTAATCTGTATGAGAGTGTACAATGGGATACAATACCAAATGAGGTGTTCCTTATTGGAGTGCCACACATCAGGCAATAATTTCAAATGCATTCATTAAAAATAAAAGATGTACACTTTTAGCTAATTTCTGGGTAGCCTGAGGCTACGTGAGCTGTGTTCTGTACTTCCCGCATAATTTTCACATAGGATTTAGTATCCGTGTTCCCATGTTAATACCTGCTGCCATATTCCACCCCAGAGATGGCTACATTTCAGGGAAGGGCAGATGTATTTCTAGTTCTTTGGCATCTTTCTGAATAAGAAGCATGGTAGAAATGTGTGACAGATCTGTAAAAATACCTGCTAATTTACCCTTTGGGCTTTTGTACAAGCGCATGGGTGGGGTTTGCTAGCACTGAGAGGCTCAGCAAAAAATCAAATTAAGTTCTAGCTTAGGGTCAACATTCCTTCTTCCCATTAAAAAAAAAAATAAAAAGAGAAAGAATTATCATAGTTTAAAAGGGGAGAATTATCAAGTGTTGCTCAATAGAGTTTGAGTAGCCACCAGTTTGCAGTCCATCTGCTGAAATGAAATGTTGATTCTAATCAAAACTGCCACCAAGATGCTTGGGAGTAAACTTCCTAAATGGTCTGTGGGAGGTATGTGCACAAATCCTATTAACAAATAATGGGATTCCTGCCTGCACCTCTCCTATCTCTCTAAAGGTTTGACTCTGACTGTTTCTCTGTCCCTTTGCTAGCTTTGTTTTATGCAGAGGAAAAGAAAAATAAAAGACAACAATAAAGCTAAAATGAAAGACGATGAGGGAAAATATTTAGTGGCTGAGACCAGTGCTCTTGACACAGAGCTGACATTCCTCAGATGTATGTATTCTTTGGGATTTTCTCCCAAAGGTCTTATGTATTTTTAAGTTGAAAATTTGCATTGTTGGAATTACCTTATTATAATTAAATAAAACAAAAGATGTCCATGTGTAAATAAAACTTGTAAGTTAGAAATTTGCTATATACCATAATCTCATTTGTAAAGTGCCCCCTGTACCTTGGTTAGTATTTTGGTTTTAATAGTGTAAATTTTTCCATATAAGCAAAAAACATTGGCCTCATTCTTGTCTATTTTACATCACTGTGATTTCATTGATTTTATTCCTGATATGCAGCAACAAGCACAAGCTCAAAATCAGGCCTACACTCTCTTCTCATGAGTCACAGCCCCCCTTTCCTCTCTTCCATCTAACCTCCCTCTGTTCTGCCTTTCACGCCTTTTTGAGTGTGAAATGACAAATTAGCCACTTCCTCACATGGAAGAAAGCTTTGATGGATACCAAAACGACAGACTTTACTTGTTTCTCATGCATTCTACAGATCTTGAGAGCAAAGTCTGTGGGAAACCCGTGTAATTGGTGTGCACCTCATTAAGGAACCAAAAACGTTGGCTCTGAAAGTTGTAGATTTGCCCTTGCCCATGCTGGTGTTTGTGTGCTCATTCAGTCCCCGATCAATAATTGTGTAGATCCAATTTGCATCGTTGTTCATTTCCTCTCTGTTGAAAGTCAGATATGGCCAAGTGTTTGTCAGATCTCAGAAAGGAATCTCGGCTTACCCACGTTTCTTGTAAAACCCGAAAGCTGAGTTTGCATGTGTTGCATAAAAGCCAGTGATACCATATGTCATTAATTTTATATGCTTTTTCTAATGGATGTATGAGTTAATTAGGAGATATTAGATAGCATGCGTACAATGCTTTGATAGTGTAAGGCACTGAGTGCTAAATATTATAAAATATGTCTGTGGTGAAAAGGGAATTTCTCAGCATAGGACCTGAAATCAGTAAAGAGACTGATGCTGAAGATACTAACCAGTTGTACAGTACTTTGAAAACATGCGGAGAACTTTTTGGCATTTTTGCTGCAAATAACACAGGCCAGGCATGTCACAAGAGGCTTATTATTTTGGGTACCTTGATTTTAAGGCCAATTAAGACTACTTAAAAGAGGTATGGGGGGGTATTAAACTACTGCGTATAAAACACCCTAAGACTCAATATTCTTGGTTGGAAGGTTATGCTGTCACCATACAGAACCTGCCCAATTATTCCATATTAGATTTTTATCAGTCCACAAAGTCCCATTTCTCTGACTTCGGCATTAAGTAAATGAGTGGAACTGCACCAAGGCTATGGAATAACAGGTGGTCTGCATTCGCATGCACTGACAAAGGGCCTACTCTTCTCCCCAGTTGTGATGCCGTACTTCAATTATTACATTTAAGACAACTCTCATCACATGTTTGCCTGCTTCCTAAAAAAGCAAATCAATTTCTTCTTTCATGTTTGTTTTTTCCTTCATGATTAAATCATCTGTGTTAGAAATGATATGGGGTACGTATTCCACAAAGTGAACCCCCCACACTGACTTTAGTAGAAGTTTGGGATAACTAAAGGTCTCAGTGCTGGGAACATTAGATTTAAATGGTTGAATTAAAATGTTATTACTCTTAAAAGCAACTTTCATTTATTTTATTTAAAATGTTGTTTCAATGAGATTCTTCTCAAAGCAATGACCTCATCGGACTGGGGTACAGTGGTAGTGTAAAACCCCAAGTGACAATATAAGGCCTCTTCCATCATGGGAAATAAATTCAATATCCTCCAAAACAGTGTGCTGTGTTGGGTTCATGCCACTCCAGGGAGCATATTTAATCATATTGCAGAGATAAAAGTCTGTGTTTTGATACATTGGGTGAGATGTACGCTATAGCTGGCATAGCTAGACAGCACCTCATGCACCACAGGTATTACACATCCAAGGAGGCTGGAGGACCTTGGAGAGCAGGGAACGAGAGGGGCATATCAAGGATCACTACAGGAGGTAAACAAGGGTTTTGTTAAGCAGGACTCAGCAATGCAAACTCAGGAGCAGGAGGAGCAGTGGGTCTTTTCTACAACCTGCCATCCCAGAGAGGAGTTCAGAGGATGAACTAGCCCAGAAATTGTGACAGAAGAGGATCTCCCTCTTTTGAAAACAGTTTCATCTTCTGTATAATTTAAAGCTCAACTCTAATTTTGCTTAAATTTCAAATGAATGATTTGGGGGTCAGCTGGACTGCTGTGAGCTTTACTATGAGCCACAACAGACCCATAGTTGAAATGAAACTGAGCCTTGCCTCCTTCAAGAGCTCCATAAAAATGAAGTTAAACGAAGTTTTGGCCCAGGGTGGAAAAAGTTGCCTCCACCTTAATAACTGTAGGTTTTAAACAGATCCCTTAGCGCATATGATACAACATAGATATTTATTTACATATGCATTCATCTGGGAGTCCAATTATTAATACATTATCTTTTCCTTAAAAAAAACCCTTTCCATTGACCCTGCTTCAGCAAAAGGCCAGTGCTGGACTGAACTGAAGTGGTTTCAAACAGGTTCTTAGAATAACCAACACAATGTGAGCTGTAGTTATAAAAATGCTGAAAACTGACATAAGCTTTAAAGCCCAACAGGGCCCTAAACTTTGTAGCAATCTTGCAGTCAGTTAAAATAAAACAGAAAATGGGATTAGCAGAAAAAGGAATAAAGTATTAACACTTATTGTGATAAACTTGTTCTCTTACTGGAAACTGTTCCAACAACAGGTGTGAATGTGTGTTCATGCCATAAGCAAATACGTTTCTCTCCAAGCAGTTAAACTTACATTGCTTGAGGTATCTAAGAACCTGAATATTTTCCAGTTCATACATAGATTTTGGACCTGGTTCTTATATCACTCATAGTGAAGTAATTAGGCTAAATGCAACAGATTTCCTCTGGTTCAGGAAGAAATCTGAATTTTGAGATCAGAAGATCCCTACAGTTCAAATACTATGAACCTTTTCTTCTAATCATTATGGGTATTGATCTACATTTAACATCTCAAACAATGAATAATTATTTGTTATTATTACCCATCATTCATTTAATGAGCCTTTTTCTCATAATAATGTCTCAATATTTAATAACGACAAATGGAAATTGAGTTTGCTAATGTTTTGTCATATGAGCATATGTGTATAGGAGTGCATATACAGATGTCTTATTTTCTGTTCATTCTGTAGCAGAGGTTAATTTGCAAAAGGCAAATGTGATTTCAAGAGCCAAAGTTCAGCTCAGTTTCCACTGACAGCAGAAATTAAAATCCTTCTGGAACTGAATCATAGCCTAAATAGACTATAACCGATTTATAGTTTGGTAGTCAAACACCCTTATCTATGTGTTATTCTGTAGAGTATACTGGCCTGGTTCTTCTTGCACACAGTTGTAGATGAGACATGAAGGTCTAAGGAGTTACATCTGCATGAATGGAAAATTAAGCCCACATGTCTCTGTAATATATTCTGTTACATTTTATAAACTTTAAATAGTCTCTATTGTAATATTTTACCACAGTGTTGCTAATATTACCCTGAACTAGGCTTCTGTCATTAGCTGAAGTGTGACATTCTTTGCAGTTGTAATCCAGATTTCGAGGTTTGTAAAATAAGTTCATTACAGTAACAAGAAAAAAAAAAAAAAAAAGCAGGGGAAAAGAGTTTAATTATAAATTCTACAAGGCAGATTTATAAGATTTTATTTCCATTTATCAAAATAGTAGCTATCCTAAAATGTGTTAAAAATACCAGTATTGTTTTCCTTTTTTGGTCAGGTAAGGGTACGTAACAGATTGTAACCCTGAGTTTATTGCTTGCCAATGTGTCGCTGAAACATCTGGTTTGACAGCTGTAGCAAGACCAGGTTTTTACTTGCTTGTTTTTTACCTCCACCAGTTAAGCCCACTGACTCTTGCCTTTGAGAGTCTGGTCTGTCAGGTACCCCCACTTTTATATGGAGGAATACTTCAGGATCTGGGGTTTCCCCAACGTATAAGCTTCCCTAAAAAGTCATAGCATCGCAGGCTGCCTTCAGACAATGACTTTCCTAAGCATTAGCTTTTGCATTCGGTTGCAGATGCAAACCGAACACTGTGAGGTAAATTGGAGACCAGATGGGGTTTTCATTTACAAAGGAAATTTTTTGGGGCTGTTGCTTAGAGGTCTCCTTTCTCTTTTTGCTTATGTGGTTGCTTTGTATAATTCTCCAATTTAAAATCAAAGTATTTTGTGCTTTAAAGCATAAGATTTTCCATGTGATGTAAAAAAAACCCAGAACAACATTTCCAGGTGACTTTTTTGATTGATATGGACTGCTGGTTAATAGTTTCGAACAGTACAAGCCAAGGAAATCATCTGTCC